GTTGAAAATTTGAAAATTTGAACAGGAGGGCGGCACTCTTGCACCAGGCAGCGCGAGGCAACCAGGCGCCTAGAGGCTCTAGGATTTTCAGGGTAGTATATCCCAGTTGAGTTGAGATGGGCGCAGGCAAGAAAAGAGATATCTGGACAATTTGTGTTTTGGTGTTGTGTAGTAGTGACTGAGCTACACTAAGTAGATAACGCGCAGGACAACCTTCACGCGCTAATATTACAGCTAACTTACAGAAGCTGGACAACAATAAGGAGAAGGTGATTGTTGAATATGTTTTTAAGCTAGATACACAAGGATTTTCCCCTTAGCTCTTAGATGTGGCTACTATAGCCAATTCCTTGCGCGCTGAGCGTAATCTGGGCCCTGTTGGCGCAAACTAGCCTAGTACGTTTGTTAAGCGACACCTAGAGCTTAAAGTCAAGTTTAATCGCAAGTACAACTACAAGAGAGCCCTCTGTGAAGATCCTGAGGTTCTGCAGGGCTAGTTTAGCCTAGTAGCCAACACTAAAGCCAAGTATAGCATCCAGGATGAAGACACGTACAACTTTAACAAGATAGGCTTTATAATAGGCTAGATCTCCTAAGGAGTAGTTGTTACAGCTTTAGAACAACAAGGTTGGCCAAAGGCAGTCCAGCCAGGCAACTAGGAGTGGGCTACAGCTATAGTAGGCATTAATGCTAAAGGATAGGCTATTCCTGCCTTCCTTATCTTTAAGGCCTACTACTACCTCTCTGCCTGGTACAAAGAAGAGGATCTACCTTAATACTAGGTTATTAGAGTCTCTAATAACGGCTAGACTACTAACAAGCTTAGTCTAGACTAGATAAACCACTTTAACAGGCATACAAAGGAGCGTACTGTTAGCACCTACTGTTTGCTCATTATTAATAGTTATAAGAGCCACAACTCTCTTAAATTCTAGCAGTACTGCAAGGATAACAAGATAATTACTCTCTATTTGCCTCCCCACTTATCACATCTTACACAGCCTCTTAATGTGGCTTGTTTTGCTACTTTAAAGAAGGCGTATAGGCGCTAAGCTGAAATACTTATGTGTAACTAGATTAACCACATCACAAAGACAGAGTTCCTACCTTCCTTTATACGCGCCTACAATGCTGCAATTATTTCTAGCAATATTTAGGGAGGGTTCTAAGGCGCTAGACTAGTCCTATTTAACCTATAACAGGTTAAAAGTAGCCTTGATGTGAAGCTGCGCACGCCATCACTACCACTACCTGTTAACAACAAGCCCTGGCAGTCGCAAACCCTAAGCAATACCTTAAAATTTAACTCACAATCTACTCTAATTCAAGACAATTTCAAGAAATACTAGGGTAGCTCACTAAATTCCACAATAAGCGCGCTTGAGCATTACATCAAGGGTGCAGCAATAGTCACGCACAAGCTGGTTTTGGCGCAACAGGAGATTGCTGAGCTTCAAGCAGCAAATAAGGCAGCTACACAACAGAAATTATACAAAAGAAAGCAAGTTTAGGTAGAAGAGACCCTAACAGTTAAGGAGGGCTAGTGATTAACAGCTCTAACAGAGTTTAGGGCGCGTAGTGATGGTAAGAAGGCAAAGAAGCAGGTGCGCGCTAATAGGGCTGAGCTAACCCAAAGGCGCTATAGACAGTGTAGTAAGACTGGACATAACGCGCAAATGTGCAAGACTGATATAGAAGTAGTCTCTAAGTAATATTACAGCTTGTTTTGCCTTGTGCAGCGCCGTTTTGTGGTGTTTTGGGTCATAATAGGGTGGGCTTTAGTGGGGGCTTGGCAAAAGTGTTCCACTCGCTCGGTGTTCCACTCGCCCGTGAGGTACGTTATAGGTAATAGGTTATTAAGTTATTCTTAAATCTCCTTAAGAGGTATAGTGTTTGTAACATCTCTAGTCTCTATTTCTACTAGTCCTAACTGTTAGAGATAATTATCCTACCTGCTTATAGGGAGCACCTTTGTTAGACTATCTATAATTATGTCTGCTAAGGATATATATTTTATATTTATACAGCCCTTTAATACTTCTTGTTAGATCTAGTAGTTATAGATATCTATATAGTAGAGCTTAGTTTAGAGGCGTAATATCTCTTTAGTTACTAAGCATAACGTGTTTCACAAGCGAGCGCCGCACCCAACCGAGCGCCGCACTCTCGCTGCCAGAACGCCGGCGCAACAACAGCGCGTAATGTCTCAACCACAACAAGCTCCTACACTCTATACTGAAGCTGATGTACAGCTTGCTATATCTAATATCTTAAGAAACTAAATTCAAAGTATCTAACGCGCTAAGAAAGTCTACAAAGTGCCTAAACAAACAATCTAACGCTGATGTGACAGAACACGCTCTTAACGCGACTGCGAGCCAAATGCGAAGCGCCTTACAAAGCTAGAAGAGGAGGCAGCTGTACTACGTATACTTGAGGAATCTGCGCGTGGCCTACCCTCCTTAAAGGC